CGGCTTAGTCTTTTATTTAACTGCCCTCTTCTTAGTACCTACTATTTTCTAGAGTAGGGATGCTAGAAAGTGGTCCTGAAGTAGTGGGTCTAGAGCCGAAGCATCTACGTTGCTTGAGAACGTGTTAGAAATCCAATTCAGGGCCAGGCTCTGTGACTTACCCCTGTAATCCCAGCACTTTGGGAGGCAGAGGCGGGCAGATTACCTGAGGTCAGGAGTTCAAGACCAGCCTGACCAACATGGTGAAACCCCGTCTCTACTAAAAAATTAGCCGGGCGCGGTGGTGAGTGCCTGTAATCCCAGCTACTCTTGACGCTGAGGTACAAGAATCGCTTGAACCCGGGAGGCGGAGGTTGCAGTGAGCCAAGGTCATGCCACTGCACTCTAGTACGGGTGACAACAGCCAGACTCCCTCTGAAGAAAAGAAAAGAGGCCGGGCGCGGTGGCTAGCTCACGCCTGTAATCCCAGCACTTCGGGAGGCCAAGGCAGACAGATCACCTGAGGTTAGGAGTTCGAGAGCAGCCTGACCAACATGGAAACTCCCCGTCTCTATTAAAACTACAAAATTAGCCAGGCATGGTGGCACACGCCTGTAATCCCAGGTACTCAGGAGGCTGAGGCAAGAGAATGGCTTGAACCGGGGAGGCGGAGGTTGCAGTGAGCCGAGATCATGCCATTGCACTCCAGCCTGGGCAACAAGAGTGAAACTCCATCTCAAAAAAAAAAAAAAAAGAAAAAGAAAAAAATGCGATTCAGGCTGAGTGCGGTGGCTTGCTCCTACCTGTAACCCCAGCACTTTGGGAAACCTAGGAGACAGGCTAGCTTGAGCCCAGGAGTTCGAGACCAGCCTGGGCAACAAAGTGAGACCTTATCTCCACACACACAAAAAAAATACAGAAAGATTAGCCAGGCCTGGTGGTGTGTGCCTATAGTCCCAGCTGCAGTGAGCCCTGGGGGAAGAAAGGAAGACCCAGATATGTATGTTTCAGGAAGTGCACCAAGGAATTCTGAGGCACACTCAAGCTGGAGAACCACTGTGCTAGAACATTCCAGTGACCTTCAGAACCAGACTGTTCTGGGTTTACATTTCAGTTCTGCCCATGCCCCTGACAACATGTGACCTTAGGCAAGCTCCATACCCTTCCTCAGTTACTTGTCCATAAAGTAGAGATAATAATGGAATCCACATCATCAGGCTAAATGAAGGAAGTGTGCTTAGCACAGTTCCTGGCACCTAGTAACAGCTCACAACATAGTTATATCATTAAACTAGAACATCTCTTTTGTCACATTTCTGTGAATATTGTTTATCATCTTCATTGCTCACATAAAGAGGCTTAGAGAGGCAGTGAGAGCTGCCTACAGACACTATAAGGAACCTGGGTAGATTTAAGCCTGTCCTTTTAGACTCCAACTTCCCCAGCTTTCTCTAGACTACACATCTATTACTGGGACCAGCCCTGGTCTTCAGAAAATACAAACCCCATTCAACAAACTTATAAAACAGGCCCAGCCCAGGACCACTGCAGGAAGCTCAAGAGTCCCAGGGAGGCTTTAGACACAGCCTCCTACCCTGGCAGAGTTAGCAGTCCTGCCACGATGGTAAGACCCATGTGAAAGAGTTAGAGAAAAGGCAAGGCAGTGTGTGGTCACAGCATTGCCCAGAGTACGCAGCCCACTATCAGGGTGGGACCAATGTAATCACAAAAGTCCTTTTTTAAAAATGTTTTGGCCGGGCGCAGTGCCTCACGCCTGTAATCCCAGCACTTTGGGAAGCCAAGGCGGGTGGATCACGAGGTCAGGAGATTGAGACCATTCTGGCTAACACGGTGAAACCCCGTCTCTACTAAAAAATACAAAAAAATTAGCCAGGCGTGGTGGTGGGTGCCTGTAGTCCCAGCTACTTGGGAGGCTGAGGCAGGAGAATGCTGTGAACCCGGGAGGCGGAGCTTGCAGTGAGCCAAGATCGCGCCACTGCCCTCCAGCCTGGGCAACAGAGTGAGACTCTGTCTCAAAAAAATAAAATAAAAAATATAAAAAATAAATTAAAATAATAAATAAATATAAATAAAAGTGTTTTGAGACAAGGTCTTGCTCTGTTGCCCAGGCTGGAGTGCAGTGACAAGGATCATAGCTCACTGCAGCCTTGAACTTTTGGGCTCAAGAGATCCTCCTGCCTGAGTTGCCATCACCCAGGTCTACGACTTCCCCCTAGTTCAACAGTCTAGTCTAGTCTCCCTAGACACAAACAAAAAGGGAAATAGAATTTGGCATGACACATTCTACCTGAGTACAGGGGATACATAGAGGTCACCACTTCCTTTCTTAAGCATTCCCAAGGCACCTGTTTTATAATCCATTCCCGAATTCTCCTGAGTGTCAGTCTATCATTTCCAATATCTACTTGGAAAAAAATCAAACCACCTGTTCATCCCAAACTTTCACACTCCATCCTATTCCCTGGGGCTTCTTAAGGATGAGCAATAGTGAATTTATGATTCTATTTCCAAGCATCTTTGGTTCTAGAGATATTGTAATCAAATCTAGGTTTGGCTGCTCGCTGCTTGAAAGCCAGACGCCAGAGATAAGGGTTGATGGGAAGAAAATTAGGTTTACTTAAAGAGCTAGCAAAACCAAGAAGATAATGGACTATGTATTGTTCTAAAGTACCATACTGTCATATTAAGTCAATACAGATTTTATGCTGTTTTTATGTTAAAGTCAAGTAGAAGAGACTGAACGTGGTGGCTTACGCCCGTAATCCCAGCACTTTGGGAGGCCGAGGTGGGTGGATCACCTGAGGTCAAGAGTTCAAGACCAGCCTGGCCAACATGGTGAAACCCTGTCTCTACTAAAAATATAACAATTAGCTGGGCATGGTGGTGTGTGCCTGTAATCCCAGCCACTCAAGAGGCTGAGGCAGGAGGATCACTTGAACCTGGGAGGCGGAGGTTGCAGTGACCTGAGATCGCACCACTACACTCCAGCCTGGGCGACAGAGCAAAGGGGAAGAGAAGGGGGTTTGAATTGGGATCAACAGATGACCAATTACCACTGGCACCTGGGCACCAGCGAGGGTCCAAGAAGGTTGAGAACTTCTTTGTCCTTGGTCAGGTCACAATGCTTTTATAAATCTTTAACAAAACATTGATTATTTACATACTTCTCCTTTAATCCCAGAGTTAGTTTTTAAAAACTACATGCTTGCTTTTTTCTGCATATTATCTCAGTGCTCTAAAATTATCTTAGCCTACGTGCAGGAATGAGAAAAGGCCTCTTAAACAAAAATTGAGTTAGTTATGTTAGTACTTTTGCTGTTTCGCTGTTGCAAAGTCTTTTCAAGGCAAGCAGTGGGGAGGTGGGGGAGGGGAGCAAAAGGGGTGACAGTTAGAGGATACTGTGGTTCACTGCAAATAGACCGTCTAACTCAGGCAGACTCAGGACAAGCCATGAACCGAGTACTGCAAGGAGGGAGTGGACCCTCATGTTCAGCAGATGCCATTACCAGTGTGGGCCTCCTCTGCTCCCAGTTCTCTAACATGGTACATTTCTGTATCGGGGCAGACCACACTAGCTCTCCTGGGGGATTCAGCTGGTCCTTTGCCCTCCTTTTGCCCATCTGTTGAGTGCCTTTGTGGTGAGCAAAGTCTTCCCTTGCATCCTCCATTTCCCTAGGGAGGGTTGGACATCCTTTGGGGTTCATGCCTGGTTTGAGAAGTAGAGCTGGCGTTCTTCTCTCTTCCCCATCAATGTAATGACCCTCACCTCATCCTACGGGTAGACTTAGGACATACCCTGGGAAGAGCATGCCCCGAGATGGTAAACATCATCCTCACCACAACTGGCCAAGAGTTCTCACCTTCCAGGAAACATGTATAGGGCCAACTTGGACCCCAGGAGCCCATGAGCAGATAAGAGTACCCCTAAAGAGACACGTCAGTATTCCTGCATGATACCGCTTTGAAACCCCAGATTTCCAGGAGAATTTTGATACTGGCAACATATAAAGGAGAGGGGAGCCTGAGCCTCTCTTCTCTGTAGTCCTAGAACAGCCCTTGGAGAAACAAGAGTGGCTCCAGAGGCCAGGGTTCCCGTTGCAATTCTGTTATCAGCCTACTGGGTTCCTCTTTAAAAAGAGAGAGCGAGAAGGCCAGGCGCAGTGAGTGGTTCATGCTTGTAATCCCAGCACTTTGAAAGGCAGATCACGAGGTCAGGAGTTTGAGATCAGCCTGACCAACATGGTGAAACCCCCGTCTCTACTAAAAATACAAAAATTAGCCAGGCGTGGTGGTGGGCGCCTGTAATCTCAGCTACTCAGGAGGCTGAGGCAGGAGAATTGCTTGAACCCGGGAGTTGGAGGTTGCAGTGAGCCAAGATCACGCCACCGTACTCCAGCCTGG